CAATTCGTGGAGCTTTATCTCAAGTAATATGTGATCGTTACAATTGTTTTAGGATGCGACCAGCTATTATTACGATTAAGTTAATATTTATTATAACCTTTCCCCCAAAAATTACAGAATAACTGCTCTCTTCAGTATAGCATGGTCCAAATTCAATGTTACAATTCGTCGTCTTTGATGGGGTTTTTTGTTATGCCAAGCAAGGGAGAGAAGGGGGAGTAAATAAGGTGAAGAAATTATTGTGGATGTTATATAATTGTCAGGCCTCCAACTTCTAAATTTGCTCCCGTCACTTAAAAATCTTCACCTTCGTTAGAAAAATGCTGTATATACGTGACAACTAATCAAAGAATGATGAGAATTAAGAATTATGTACGGGCAAGGATATATGGGATGTGATTGAGACAATTAACGCTACTTACTGGTTCCGTATACAAGAAGTCCCCCGGCAGTGCTCATTACCATAGCAGAATACGTTATCTTTGAGAATTATTAAACAATTATTAGGTAATTCTTGTTATATGATACGTTAGATACATTAGTAATATGGGCTACTACGTACCACGGACGCATGAGCAAGCACAATTGGTAAACCTAAAGAATGCATTACAGGCGAGTGAACGAACAGGTCATCACACGCAACGTAGTTCAATGAAATAGAAAATCGCTTACCAAATCCCGTAACAAGAAAAACAGCAGTCAAGAACTGTCCAAAATCTTTGAACCCACTACAAATGCATAGAAAAATGCTTTACGAATTGCCCATATCATAGCAAGCATTGAAAAAGAGGCATTTTCAAAGATCAGTAAAAGCGTTTGCTCAGACCTTGTCCTGTCAGTCGAATAGTCGTCATTATTCGCACATCTCGAAAAGATCGCATTAGGTAATAGAGCCAGCAAGTAAATAGCCACTGCAAAAGGTTCAAAAAATAGTATCAGCCTCGTTTCCTTTTCGATAAACAGAGTAGTAGGCTCAATACAGACCAACAAACATAGGCCACCAATTCCTGTAGAGTTACAAACAAATAGAAAGCAGTTCAGATTTAAGATGAAAGCTTTCGGCGAATTCAACACAAAGGAACAAACGTGAAATTACATACTCAAATAGTGCACCAGACAAGATTTCCAATAAAAATCCACCTGCAAGCACGAAAGCTAATATGATGATGCTGTGCAGAGAAAAACGTACACATGAGGTATGAGAAATTAATGTTTTGAGCAAATAGCCTGTGATCGCACTCTATCCCAGTCTCGCATAGCCATCTTGTAGCGCTGATCTACTTTGCGACAATGACTCGGCATACTTACGCTAGTGCACACAGAAAAGAAGCGAGAAAATACAATAGTTAATAGTTATAGACGTAATAAACAAAACAAAGTTAGATGCAATACTGTTTACTTTTTAAGCCTGACATGCTTGCTAGGTTGTGATCGTCGGATAAAGTATTGAAGTTAAGCGAAGCACTACCAAGACAACAGCGGAGGTTCACACATTCTTTTACAAGTTACACTAGTCGCACAGAGTGCTAATAACAGTGTCACAAACCTAAAATCTGCTGATCGTTATAACAATTAAACTCCCAATTGATGTTCGTATTAGTATAATAACACAAATAATAAATGAAGCTTATCATGTGTTATTTTAGAAAGATAAACCTTTAAAATCTCCTTAGGAAGCGCCAATCAAAAGCGGCTGAAATTGTATTGTGACCAAACTGGTAATGAAAAACATGCAAATATCAAATATTGCCCCTTTGCTTCTTTGCTTCGGGCGTCGCGGATATCGGTTGCAACGGAGGCGACGGGTGGTGGTGGTCTCGGCGGAGATAAGTTATCAAAGCTTATCGTACCGTTGCGACATTAAAAGTATCTCGATTAACTTAATACCTGTTACTATTATAATACAATAAACAATCAGTGGAGTTGACATACCCGAAGGAAAGCAAGTCAAAATAAAGCAAAGTAGGTTATCCAAATTGAAAAACGTTGCGAGTAGCAAACTTGTTGAAAAAAAAAAGTTCAGAGTTGCATCGTAGAACATAGAGTATGTGATCCATAGAAGAACAGCTTATCAATACCATAAACATCGTTGACGTGTTGTATTTTTTAATTGGCCTATAACGTCTTTGTATTTTTGCTATTTGAGGTTAGGAAACACATGTATGAGTTCAGACTCGTGGTAATCATTGGCATAAGCAGGAATATTACCCATCCATTTTTACCTTTTTAATGCTTTTACAAGTTCTAATTCTGAAGTCACAAATGTCCAGAGTGTTTTGGAACTTTGCATAATAATAGTTTCTTGTAATAGTAACATTTTACCCAGTTAGTTTAACGTTTCTTGGTCAACAGTATTGATATCATTAGGTAAGTGTTCTTTGGTAGAGAAGTTTGTATATAATAATAACTCACTTCATTTCTTAACTTCATGCAATAATAAAACTGCCAGCTGTGCACATTTATGTGGAAGATACACATCTTATTCCAATACTACATACAAGAAAACCTGACTGCATGGGATTAGTATTAGAAAAAGATTGGGGATTAGATCCTCTCAATGTTGAAATCATCTTCAAAATCGAACCAAAGTGAGCAACATGCTTCTCTGATAAAATATGGGTAATAATATTATTATTATGGCATTTGCAGAGAAACTGTTACAGCTGTAACCACTGGTGTATGCTGTGCTCACAGATTGTCATCATATTCAGATATTTGAAATAACTAGAGAGACCCATTCTAATTACGGTCAAGTATAGATACACAAGCCAAGAATACTAATAGATTTTTACTCTGTTTTCTTAAATTTTCAATCTCTCCATCTTTTTCTTCAATTATTTCTTGCTTTTCTAATAATAATTCTGATTGACTTTCCAGTTTTTCATTTAAGGGATTAATATGGTTTGTAAAGCATCAATCTTCACAAACTCCAATAGCATCTAAATGACAATTAGCATTTTCTTTTTCTATTTCAACATACTTTGCAAATTCTCAATATGGGTTTCCAAATTTTTGATTTCTTTTTTATTTTTTTCAAAATCCTTAATAGCATGTTCAATATGTTTAGTTGTTAGAAAAACATCTTCTGAGAGGTAAGATTATCAAACCCAGCTTGGAGATATTCATAATCACCAATTTTGGCTGGGATTTCTTGTATTTTGCCTTTTTTTTTCTTCAAATTTGGCAGCTAGTTTTAAAAATCGGGATTTATCCAGTTTTTTCTGTAATGTTTTTAATTATTTTGTTTGTTTATTCTTTTAATATACTTACAATCCTTATTTATGAGGACATATTAAGTATATAATTATTTTAGTAAAAAATTTTTTTACTTCAAATTTTAAAGCATAAAAAGTCGTTGAAAATTTAGACTGACAACCTAACGAGAACAAGGACAATTAATGATAGACAAAGTAAGAAGGAAATTTTATTCGAAATGTTTTATTCGTTGCCAGTATAATTTGGTCTTGGACAAGTAATATCTTTGAATTCATCTCTAACAAATGGGATATTATGATAAAGATATTCTTGCCTTTTGTAATCCAAAGGAGAAGGTATTAGGACTAGGATGGAAAAGGATTTGATTTCTTGGTAATTTCTGAAACATTTGCTTTTCTGGCTTTCAACAAATTAAATTCTGTATGAGCACCATTAGCAACCAGCTGAGCACTCTGACAACTCCAGGTCGAGCTGCTTCAAAAAAAAAAATGCTGTGATATTTTTGTAAAACATTCAATTTCTTAAAGAAAATTCCTAATACGGAATTAAGATCTAAGTATTGAAACCCTTTTCCGTTATCGTAACGCTGAGCTTTATTTAATCCAGTTGTACTCGATTTTTTCACAACTTCAACAATATCGTCTAACAATTTACCGTCAATCCAAAACTACCATCACACTTGAATTTAGTATTCCAGATATCATAAAATTTAATTCGATACTTTCATAATATCCGTAAATTACACCAAATACAGACAAAATCAAATGATAGCATTGTTTTTGTTCTGACTACCCGCGTTGTCATAAGTAATCTTTAAATGTTTTTCACCTTTATTTAATCGTTTAATTCCAGACTCAGTTATCAGTGTGCCATTAGGTCTTTTGCCGATAATTTCGCCTTCATCGAGAACGTAATTAATTTGTTCGCGTACCGCTTCATCTTGTATACCAAATAGATGCACTTTACGTGGACTAAGATAATAAATTTTACTTACCTGTTGATCGGAATGGGGCACGTAAATGTTTTGTGCCCAATTGTAACTGTAATGAGCAACCGCGTCAACACTACAATAATCAGCCTTACTTTCCGTCACTAGATAACTCTCGTCTACTGATTGTCTCTGTTGTTCTGCGAATTTCGTATTTTTGTTGTAATAATTTCTTTCTAATTTAGCTCTAACTAAATGTTTTTCAATAAATCTTTCGCTTTTTCTTCCTTACGAGCATTATACTGTAAGCCGTTCCGAAAATGTTGACAAGTATCGCACAAATCCGTTCTTGGACTCATAATTTGAATATAAGGCGTTAATTGGTGCCATAACTTACGGAATGCATCATATTTTAACAATTTCAGTGTGCTATCGTCTTCGAGACCTGCAATAAAATCACGATAGACGGATTTATAACTCGTTTTGGTAAAAGTGCAAGTGATTGAGTATTTTGATTGACGTTTCTACCAGGACTTGGTAATCCATGAATTTCCGCATAATTTTCGAGAAAATTCTTCACGGCAGTAGCAACAGTTATATCAATAGTTATTTTAGTTTTCCATCGCGGCACTCGTTTTATGTTACTACCATGTTCAGCTGAAAAGCAAGTTTAATTAACAGATTAACGAATTAATACAAGTCCACAACCACATATGAAAAAAATTTTTTGTATTGAATGTATTAAAAATTAATGAAATATTGGTCGTTGCAGTTTATTAACTGGAAGTAAAAAATTTATTGATATCTGAAAAATATAGTGCTGATGCCCATTACATAATATCACTTCCAACAAAGTTTATGCATACATTGACGAAAAAGAAGGAATATTTCTGACAATTTCTGAAGCAACTCCAACTTTATGGTGCCAGATTTCTTCCTTTGACATAACATCATATACATCTTCAATCCGAGCAATGTCATCTTCACTTCTATCAGGTAACAAAGTATTTAACTTGACACGTTTGGCAGCCGGAATGATGATTGATGTATTCTCCTGATTTGCTTTGGGTTTGTCTCTTAAGAGTTCACTTAATACTTGAATTGCAACATTCCGACTTGGTGCGTTCCAACTCTTTATTGTCCTATCATCTTCCAACCAGAAAATTTGCCAATCATCCATGAGGTCTGATATGATTCCAAAAACGATCCTACTTTTGGGGGTAATCAAATCAGCAATTACCATTTCTAAAATGACTTGCATCACATGATTCCTCTCGATCTTTTTTTTCAACTCCAGAACTGCATAAATACTTTCAGGAATCAAACGACTTGCAACATCATAGTTATTCACAACCACTACATCAGTTCCACCATGAACATTAAAGGGTAACCTGGAGTCCTTATACACGTCTAGTAAGCTGTGGTTATCCCCAACATCATACCAAATACGGCCATCAGTCAAAGGAATGTATTTGTTTAACCATTCCAAATATTCATCTTTATGCACTGGTTCTGACTTATCCTTCCATTCGAAAGCTGGTGGTGATGCATTACTATCAATGGGGATATTGTCGAAGTAAACATTTTCAATGTCGAGATTAAGATGGTTTTTTAAAAGTTGAAAGTTCCCTGTATTGAGTTTAGAGATGGATATAGTCTCAATAGTTGGTTGAGTAAGTTTACTATGCATTTCATGAATTTCGGTGATTACATCTTGTGAAAGGTAGGGGGATGCTTGATTAATTGATTAGGAGAATAAGAGAATGTGGAAAGAAGTAAAAAGCCAAAGTTAGTCAAAGTCGCAAATAGCATACTTGACGCTCCAATAAACAGATGATTGCATTATTCGCTCACTAATTACCTTGCTCTTCGCCACCCTTAATCGTGTCAATCAACCCTGTGATTGTTTCTGCTGGACCACCAGGAAGATTGTAAGGTGGAGATATAAGTTTTTCTGCAGTTAAGCGAAGGAAAGCTTGACCGGAAACTCTGTTGTCCTTGATTATCTTAATGTCGTCGTTATTTAGAAATAGCTCATCTTTCTTTTTTTCAAGAAATTCAAGAACTTGTTGCAGACTCCATTTCTTGATTTTTTCAACACTCACAACATCCATGGAAACTATTGTTTTTACCAAAGACAATGAGCAGTTCCTCCATAAACAATACTTGCAATACAATAATTACCAGTAGACTGTTCCCTTAGCAAGGGAGTTTCTTCGGATGTTTGCCCTTTCCCAGATGTACCAATATCTGGTGGTCGAACGTTTTTTTCTTTTTTAGACGCATCAGCATCTGATGCTTTGCCACCTATTTTTTCACCAATGATAATAAGTAATTTCTCACAAATAATACTCATAATACGTTCACTTTTACCTGTAGACTGGCTAGTAGAAGGTACAGTTTTTTTAGTTTTTTTTCCTTTTCTTGTCATTGTTCAGGAAAGTGACACGGTACAACCTTCAGATGCATATCACGTTAAAAAGATAATATCATGTGATTTATAACCAATCAAATTTTTTGATACGAATCGGTAATTGGATCGAAGATTATTTTTCCACAATAGGCTATTCATATGTGATTAATTTACTAATGTCGTACTATATAATCACAGTATTGAGTTGTGGTAGAATCATAGTACCGTCGACCTCCCATACAGTCACCTCCCATACAGTCACCTCCCATACAGTCACATTTGCTTACAGTCACACATTTGTTCATTCCCGAATTTTTTCATAGTGATTTCCTCCCATAGAGTCACATTCATAATGTTAATCGCAATCACACGATTTTGGATTCCCATCATAATGAGAACAATAGGAAATCCCCCCATACAGTCACATAGATTTGTGTAACAATTTTGGCTAATGTGTTACATCCTAGAAAGGTAACGCTAGTGCCTTATAACGCCTGCATTAGATAATTTTGGCGTAGCAAGGTAACAGTTAACACCGCCCACAACGCCTTTTGAACTTTGTTACATATATTAATGTAATGGGGGTAAAGGGCCATGATTTTTTATATAAACAGCGAAGCAATGATAAACATCGCATAAATTTTCCAATGTCCTTACAACGTCAACCGAAGAAAAGAGCTCAATTGAGTATTGATAATAAACGCAAAATTTGTGAATATGCGAGGCAACATCCTACTGACATTGCCCACTATTTCAAGATTTTATCGAATAAAGAGAAATGGCTTAATACACCGACGACAAAACGAAATTCTAGCATATTTCGTCAACGTTTCGTTAAATATCCTAACTTAGATAAAGCTATGGAGTTGTGGGTAAGCCAAGCAGTTGCAGGAGGCTTACCTTGTACCAAGCTAATATTAAATAAATATTCAATAGAATACTAAATATTCGAAAAAATTTTACATTATGTTTATAGATCACATGACTACAGTCGACCTCCCATACAGTCACCCCTCCTTATAGTCACTGGTTTTGGTTATTCCCGAGGGTGTGACTGTATTAGTATGGGAGGTCGACTGTATAATTTTTCTTATACTTATATGAAAAACAACCCGTCGCGGTATAGTCACTGCTAATACCTTACCCTATAATACATGTCGGAAGTGACCGCCTCTTATATGATGAGGGTGAGAGGAGTTAAAACTTGACAAGTCAAACTAGTATATGTTGTGTGGTCGCTGATATATCATAAATTCCGCTCTTGTTAGCATTTTCGTGTAAATGCATTTACTCAGGCTCGTGACCGATATCTAGAGTGCTCGTTGTCAGCATGCAGAAAATGATTGCCATAACAGCACGACAAATATGAGTTAGCGTAGATTTTATTTTTTCCACTCGATCGCGGATATGTCTGACGGATAAATCGACGCGATATTTTTTCGTCACAAATTGAAATAAATCTGCAAGTATATAAAACACATAATATCAAGCATGTCTTCCGAACTAGATTTACTCAGACAAAAAAATGCTAAGCTAGTGGCCGAGAATGCTGAGCTTAAGCACTAAAACTCAAAACTAAAACAGATTATAGAAGAAAATGCCGAGTTTAAAGCCAAAATCATGAAACTAGAACGAACCGTTGATAAAATTGAGAAGCAGAATCAAACTATATCGCAGGCTCCAGCCAGTTCATCATTACCAGTAACATCCCAACTATCTTCCCCGCCACCTATTGAGAACCACTCTGATAAGTCAGCCTCAACGCAAGCCAGCTAAAAGCTGAACCCACATCATTAGAAGATAAGGAGGTCGATAAATTCCTGGATTCAACATATAAAGAAAAGGTTAGTAAAGAGATAATTCGGCGCATTAGAGAAAAGAAACTTCGGGATCAAGAATTATCTTCTATATCGGTTGAAGAATCATGTGAAAAAGTGAGACCGAAAGTCTCACTTGTTACGGCAAGCTGATCTGAATCAGTTAAGTGAGTCACATGGTAAAATCTTCCTCCCCGTGATCAACACTAATTTTAGTCCAGTTTCACAAAAAGCATTGATTTAGTAATAACAGCGTTTCGAAAAACCTGCATGCATTAGGAAACAAAGTGTTGCGACAGCACAAAACGCTATAATTAATCTATATTTAATAAAAGTGCGTTGCGCTTTTTCCGCGACGCTCAAAGATATATAAGCAGCTCATATCCCATCGTTAAATATTAATATTGTCATGTTACAAAAAAAATAAAATATTAATCTTAGTAGTATTCTTTTATTGTAAATATACAAATTGTATTTTCTATCGTCGAAATAATTGATTATTAGGCCGGATACTCCAATAAACAGCTCACTTAAGCTGTAACGAAATAGCATTGATTTGATCAAGCTAGTAAGCTGTCCGTGGATCAATTACGTGAATAACGGAACGAGAGTTCATAATTAATTATCGAGACAAATATTGTTTAATTAGTTTAGATAGAACAAGTGACGGATACTGACTAGTCGAAACACAAATCGAAGATAGCCCTGTTTTAATTTTAAAATAGTATTATTCCCCTTCGATTCTTTAGTAGAATAATTGTTGTTATTATTTTATTAGAGGTACGTATTCACGAGTGTTTGAAACTCGGATAGGGAGTGAGAAGCACGCATAACTAAAAATAGGTCACTTGAGTCTTAATTCGGTCTTAATTGCACAACTATCGTAGTAAGGCGGATAGTACGAGCTAAGCCTAGTAATATCCCCCGGTCGGCAAACACACCTACACGAAAGATAAATTACTCTCCCAAAACCCCCATTTTATTTCCTGACCATAACAACTATGGCTAATCCCTTTCATATATTATGATACTTTTATTTTCTGTAACATTATAACATTTCTTTTCTCTTAGTATTATATGTTTCTACTAGCAATGCAACAGGTCAGAGGAAAGACTTCATATTCATTGTTTGTTTGTAGAATGAAGCAACTTAATCAATATTGCCATTTCCTTGCTAAGTTCCTCATCATTGTCTGTTTGCTTTGAAAAGCCAAAGTCTATTATGGAGACCTTAACCTTGCCATTGATGCGATGCACAAGGATATTATCAAAGTGAAGGTCATTATGAAGAACTCTATGCTCATGAATCTTTGAAAGTGCCTCCACTGCTTTTGCATATTCCTGAGAATGCAAAAGATTTATGTTTAATGGAGAGCCTGCAAACTCAGTTGCAATTCCAAAGAACATTTTCCCCCAGAAGTACCCTGAATCTATGAGCTTTAAAATAAAATTTCCTTGCAAGACTTTCAAGTCATCATAGATTGCTACTTCATTGAGAAGTTCTTGTTTATACTCCCAATCCTTTGACAGGTCACAAACCTTGACCACTGTCTCTTTTCCATGCCAGATAGCCTGGAAAACTTTACCACTGCATCTGACCCTAAGCAGATCTAGGATTTCAAAGCTATTCCATTTCAATTTTCGTATATTCAGTCACCAAACATTTCACGGGACTTGCAATTTCATATAAGGTTGCACAAAATAATTATTTGTTTTGATCTTGACATGGACTTTCTCCTTGATAATAATATGGTAACAGCAATTGTAATGATAAATAAACTTATTCACCTTGTTAAGCTTTATCATACTACAGTTATAGAT